CCCGAAACCTAATGGCGCTCACGCCACGTACGCCGGCGCCAAAATACCCCAAATCACCGGGCGCCGAGAGATTTTCGGCCAAGCGGATGTGTTATTCGTATTCAGGAGGTTAAACTACCCCAGAACACAACATTCGAGCCAAGTCTGTCCACGAAGAAAAAACTCGGTCAAAAACTGGCTCGACTCCGGATGATTGGGCAGTATAGGGTAAATAGTTGCCCAAGGAATGTTCGGCATGGAATCGTCCACAATGGCTCCATTCGTTCAGAAACATTCTTTGGCGGCATTCTCGAGCACAAGAGTTATGGAAAAATGCTTTTCAATGCACAGAGACCATTGTAGAAAAAATGCAAAACAGAAAACGCAGCAAGGATCCAAACCCTCGACAATGTGACCGCGAGACCTGCAACGTATCCACTCGGCCATGCCGCTTCAAATGGTGCAATCTCACGCCGTTAATTCGTACTGAATACTATGCTCCCCCTAAAAAAAGCTCCGTAACTTCGTTCTGGGAGGTCCGCAGCAGATATGGAAGACGGTTTCGTAATCCCCGTCCGAAGACCTTTCAGTCGGTATACATTTCATTTCAAATGGCCACTTCGACCTACCATCCTTCCCTTGTATGTGCGTTTCAAGAGCGTTCGGAGTGGTTCAGCTACTTACCTGGGTGGAAGGTTAGGATGAAATGGTTAATGCTGGACTTATTATTAGAACCCAGAATTTCCAAAGGCTCAAGGAGCTGTGCCCCAGTGCTTTGAAACCCGGGATGAACCCTTCAAGTCGGGGAAGAGAAGGGGAAGGTTATCCAACTTCGGGGAAGAGAAGGGGAAGGTTATCCAACTAACTTGTCAAAAGAGAGCAGAATACATTCTTGCTCCTATGTACCATGCTGATGAAGAGCGGTCGACAAGTTTGGGTCACTTTCATTTTCAACCCCTCTGCATCCTTCTGCCGTGACAGCTTTCGGCAACGTTTTGATTCTGAGTGGAGAGGACGCAGACGTGCAGAAGGGCTCAGTCTCTTCCACTGAATCCTTACTAACCATAAAATGCTCCTTCAAAAAAGACTGCATACCTCCTTGATCGATGGCTCTTCAACTTCATCAACAAACTCTCGGCTCCAACTGACAATCGTTAACTCGGCGTAAGTGATGGAGAGTTGCTGAGCTCTATGCACCTGAAACATATTGTTTTCACAGAAGCTGACTTTGAGCACTGCAATAAGGGTGCTCATATCTCGTCAGAGGAAGCCATATGTCCCCGAGGTAACTGCACCTAAATTAGCGCATCTCGCGCTGTGCTGTGACCGGACATGTGTCACGAACTTCCCACGAAACTCACTAAGTCCCCATAGCGCTCAGTGACTCACTTTGGGCGCAGAAACCTGGACAAAGGTCCTGGCCAAGGCACGGCCTGCCTTGTGGAAAAACTTGCAAAAAGCACTCTCATCCAACCCGGACTTCGTCCTCCGATACAACTCTTCCGTTCCCCATCCTATATAACATCATCACAAATTTCCTACTTTCCTATCACTTTCCCCAAGTTTTCCTAAGTTCCCGAAAATTGTCCTGCCTTTGCCCAAGAAGCAGCTGTCGAACGAAGGGGGAGGGTTATGCATCTTCGGTCTTTGAAGCACACGCACATGGAGCGGAAAAAAGCGCGAGAAGTCGCAGTTCGGA